AAACAAAAGCTTATTTTATGGAGTCATCGTCTTCTCGGTTTCCAATCATCTCGCCTCTGACTCACTAGAAACGGAATCAGCCGTCACTAAACACAATTTTTACTTATTAATTAATGACAATCAAACTGGTGATAAACAATAAAACTTAAATAAATAGAGCATAAATATTTGGAAATCCAAAAGACATAGCAATGACGATGTCAAAAAAAAAAGACATAACGATAAGCCACATATGGTATAAATAATACACAACTCTATCATAAATGAAGTCTAATGTGTCTCATGCTTGAGATTGTTGTAAGCAACATAAAAATACAATCTCACAACTGTTTGCATTTATATTTATAATGTGAATCAAGTAGAATGAGTCTGAATCATAGTATTATTAGAACTGGAGAATGTCTTTCTCGCCAAAAGTAAAACTTAAGGAGCGACTCAATTTTCTTTCGTCTAAAGAAAATTTATTTATACAATTGTAACTTTTTGACTTATAACAGATTTCAAGTTTTTAAAGTTGATATAGAGTTCCATATTGTTCGTTGTAATCTGATATTGTAAAAAAACTGAAGTAAAAACCTAACTAAAGAACCGGTGATTAAAGACATTTACTCACCGTTTTTTAATTTTTATTTGCAAAATTTCATGAAACATAAAACTGAAAATATTTTTTTTCAAATAACATGTAACGATAAATTCCACACTCTTTACCAATATTGACAAATGATTGAGCTAGCTAAACTATCAAATAAATATTATATCAATCGATAAAGAACTCATATAATAAAAAAAATATTATTAATTGCCATTTGTTCTCTTCGTTGAATATATGAACTAATTATAAAACATCTATGTACATACTGAATCTTAAAAATTGATAAGTAGAGAAATGCATACTATATGAAAATTAAAAAAAAAATCCTAATACACAATGTGAAACAAAATTGGAGTAAAGATTGAGTTTTTCTTTTTAAAAGCATCAAACGAAAGGGAAGCTTATGCAAAATATTTTTGAAAGTATAAAAAAATACTCATGGTGTTCACTAAAGAAATAAGATTATAACATAAGATGTCCATAAATAGTTCATGTGGATACTATTTATATAAACAAAAAATATAACAAAATTACAAATCAAATTATTATACAAAAATGTCAAACTTTACCCTTCATAGCAAAAATATGCATTAACTCTTCAAAAAAAATTTAACTAAGCCAAAATGTATATTAATCTATTTCTAAATTATTATACAAAAAAATTGATCATCTTTTCACATATATATATATATACATCTTTCTGATACTTACTTCGCTCGATTATATCTAAGAATCACATGCAAATATACTACTCTATAATTTATCACATTATTAAACACAAAATTAATTGATAACATTTTATAAAACTACAATATAACTATACAATCTACATTTAGCTTGGGCAAAACACTAGTATATAAAAAAAAAAAGAGAAGAAAGCAAAACAATGGTGATGCCGGAGATTCCGTCAGATTTGGTAGATGAAATACTTTCTTGGGTTCCGGCCACATCTCTGAAACAATTTCGATCTACTTGCAGACGATGGAACGATTTATTCAAAGACCAAAGATTCAGGGAGAAGCACTTCCGTAGAGCTCCAAAGCAGCATCGTGTTCTCATGTTGAAGGAATACCTGATTTTTCCAGTGAGCGTTGATCTCGACGTTGTTCCTCCATCTATAGAGTTTAAAGACGCACTTGACCTGACGGATTCCATTTCTAATAAGTCAGAGATTTTTCCACTGAGCGTCGATCTCAACGTTATAGAGTTTAAAGACGAACTTGACCTAACGGATTCCCATCCTAATAACTCAGAACAAGTGGATATAACTGAAGTTTTTCACTGCGATGGTTTGTTGTTATGCATCACCAAGGATAACAGACCCGTGGTGTGGAATCCGTGTTTAGGGGAAAGCAGGTGGATCCAACGCAAGAATGGTTAGGATAGACAATGTAGGTTTGCTCTTGGATACGAAAGCAACCAATCTTGCCGCATCTACAAAGCCTTGATGTTTCGGGAATGGGATTCGGATTGGTTTGAGATGTATGAGTTAAGCTCTAACTCATGGAGAGTTGTTAATGCTCCCAACTTCACCAGAACAAGATATCGTGGTGTGACTTTGAAGGGAAACACTTACTGGATTTCTCGTGAAGATAACAAAGACAACTGCTTACTCTGTTTTGATTTTACAAGAGAAAGATTTAGACGTTTGTGTCTTCCCCCATCTCGTTTTCATATGGCTCTATCAGTTGTTCGAGAAGAACAACTCTCAGTGTTATGTTATAAGAAGGAAGGTGGTTTACCAGAGCTGGAGATGTGGGTGACCAAGAACATTGATACTGAAGCAGACTTGTCATGGAGCAAATCCTTTGCAATGGGCTTAAACAGTAGTCGCGTTAATGGTCCTAATCCTTTCACGAGTCTTTTGATCGACGAGGAGAAGAAAGTGGCCTTGTGTTGTAATTCATGTTATGGACACAGCTGGAACAAGAAAGCGGTATACACTATTGGAGAAGACGATGCATACTACACAGAAACCCCTTATGTAAAAGAACTACCGTGTGGACTATCGTGGTGGCCATTTATTTTCAACTATGTTCCAAGTTTGATTTATTGTAGTAGCTCTTCTTCGTTCGAATAGTTTAATGAAATATTTGCAAAAAACCATTGACGAACTCAAGAAAGCATATCCAAGAAGCTTTTGTCCAATCGACCATATGATAACATATCCATAACCATCTTCATGGTATAAGTATCTGCAGAGAACCCCCCCCCCCCCCCCCCCACGACTTCATCTCTTCGATGAGTTCCACCGAAGAGATTACGCTGCTACCTCCGAGATGTGCCCTGATGAGTATATTGTACGTACAATGACTCGGAGCAAGCCCATCCTCCTAAACAGAACCTCCGCTTCAGACAGCGAGCCTTTCTTACATAGCCCACCAATCATTACATTGTAAGTTATGACATTTGGTTCCACTCCTTTGAGAGTAAGGCTACAGAACAAACCCAAAGCATCATCTACTTTACTACCATCAGTTCCAGCATCTGATTCGCCTCCTCTAAACGGTTCTCCTTGCAAAACATATGTAATGGTATCAGGAGCTATACTCTCTTGTGATCATCTCATTGTAAAGCTCTTTAGCCTCTGAAATCTTCCCTTGTTTCACAAAAAAACATCAATCAAAGCACTGAATGTGACAACGTTTGGTGTGATGTTCCCTCTGATCATCATGTCCTTCAACATCTCCGACACCATCGTTCGATCTACCGTAGTTGCAAAGACCTCCTATAAGAGAGCTATACGTGAGAACATCCGCTTTGATCCCTTTCTTCTCCATCTCATTGAAGAGATTAAGCGCATAGTCGAGTCTCTTTCCTTTGCAGAGACTGTCAATGACAATACTGTACTGAACTACACTAGCCGAGAACAGAGAACGCGAATCAGAGTTTGCCGCACCGGCAGAAGCAATTGATCATGATGTTGAGCGTGTAGATGTTATGCGCGACTCCATTTGATTGCAGAGAGATCACACGAGGCCATACTGCTTTCTTCTAGCTACGGAGCCGAGAAATTCGATTAGAGAAGGTGGAGGAAGAGATCGAATCATGGCTTCGAAGAGATCAATCGCATCGTTCGCCTTGATATCGACAATCTCACTCTAGAAGAGACTTTCCCATCGCTAAATCCAGAATAGTGTCGTTCGCATGAATACAATAGTCTCAGTGTACATACCTCAAGAACACGAGCTTTCCGATTAAGAGGAGTCCATCTATGTATCATCATCATCAATTTCATTTTCTTCTTCAGATGAATCGGACTTCTCTCTCTCTGTAGATTTTGTGCTTTGGGGGAGGAGAGAGTCAGAGAGAAAAATAAATTCCGGTTCGATAGTAATATATCTTAAACCGGTTCAATTTCTTTTGCATTAAAGCAGAAAACCGGTTCGATTTGACGTCGTTAACCCAACATTGGCTTGTTCTTCCTCACTCTCTGCGCCGCGTTCTCTCTCTTTCTCTCGCAAACTCAAAACTCCATCTTCGTCTCGATCTTCGATCTTCCTCGTGTTGTTTTCTTTCAGAAAGTAAGTGTTTTGTTGTATCTGTTAATTTCAGTGGAAATCGTTAATTTTCAGTGGCTAAAGTTTGTGTCGATGCTCGATCTCAAAGTAAAAGAGAATCTAGTTCTGAAATCGGTGGAAATTTTTTTCAATCAAGCTTCTTCGATCCCGATCAAACTTCCTAGATGTTCGTGTTCTATTTTAGAAAGTTAACCTAGACTAGACGAGGGAACATAACCTAGTTACTATGTAATCGTTGCGTCGAGTCCATTATCAGTGACATCGAAACCCTAATTTCGGGGGGCCTGTGTAGTCGCACAGTTTGCACAAATGGCCTTTGATTGATAATAGGTTTTCAAATTGGTCTTTGACATTGTTTCTATGTTTGAAGCTCTCTGAGCCATAGTTTTGAGGTTGTATGTTTAGGATGGAGTATATGTATATGTTACTCTGTGGAATGTCCCATTTTGGTTCTTTCTGCTTGTATTAATAGATTATGTGCTATGATTCAGATGGATTCTTGTGGATATGTTATATGATTAGGTTGGATGCAGATGCATTTTTATACTGATGGCTTCGTAAAGGACATGCTTGTTTGTTCTTGTACTGATTCGATAAGATGATCTTGATCGAATAAAAGTCTTAATGCCTCAATATGTTTTTGTGTTTATAACTTTTGAATGAATATGAAGTGAGCATTGATCATCTTGTGGTATCATAGTTCCTGCACCATACTATTTTCGTTTACTCTTTACTATGTGCTTAGAACTGTTTTGCTAGCAATCTTTCAATCTGTGATTCTGTCGGATGCAAATGTTTCTCTGAATGTTGGTTTAGTTCTTACATCTGTGTTTTGATTGGTTTGTCCAAATTTGTAATATCATGCAGTTTCTGATTCCTTTGACCCATTTTCTTCAGTAGTAGACAGAAGCAATGGCGAGCAAATCTGGAAGCGGTGGCCTGAGAGAACCGCCTAACGAGCAAGCTGTTCTGAACAACTACGAAGCAATGAGGTCAGAGCTAAGCCAAATCTACTCAAACATAACCGACCTCGAGATGCAAGTGAGCGAACACTCTCTGGTCATCAACGCGATTCAGCCGCTCGACCAGTCAAGGAAATGCTTCCGGATGATAGGAGGCGTACTCGTGGAGAGAACCATCAAAGAGGTACTCCCAGCTGTTCAACGCAACAAGGAAGGGCTCGAGGAGGTTGTGAAGAAGCTGTACGAGACACTGGAGAAGAAGAAGAAAGATCTTACAGAGTTTGAAGCCAAGTATAAGATCAGGCTAAGGAAGGAAGACAACTCCAAGGAAGAAGGTAGCAGCAAAAAGGAAGGTAATGCTCAAGGTGTTCTCGTTGGAGCCGCAAGTTCGAGCCAGTAAAACTCTTCTTTTTTTTTTTCTTTCTTTATATAATGGTGTAATCTCTTTCCTTGGTTATTTGATAAAGCCGTGACCTTTTTTTCTGGAAAACTCAAAAAATGTTTTGGATGTTGCAAAAAAAATCGATAGACTGGAGAATTTCCATTTATAGATCAGTTGCGTTATGATTTAAAAGTCTTGCCTTTATTGCATCCCAAGATTATCTTCTTTCAGCTGTTTTGAACAAAGAGAACCTCTACTATTTTACAACACAAGTTCACTGATATGTTACAGAGAAACCATCTTCCTCACGCCGGATTTGTTATATATCCGATTTCTCGTTAAGCCTAGCCGCGGCGGTAACAGAAGCCGCCACGCCGCCTGGATGAGTAGACAAGTTTGGGTTGTTCCTTAGCTCAGCGCTCACCACTCCCTCAGCGTCCTGCCTCGTTACGGCTTTATCCGCCTGTAACTTCCCCGTCGCACCCTAAAATCCAGTTCAAGAATCATTTAGACACTCTCTGTTGAAGAAAAGCATCAGACACTGAAAAATGTTTTGAAAGTTGGTTTATTTACCGCCAAAACATCAACGAGCTTGATTTTATCCTCCTCGCGATCTATAATAGCGTTGTGATTCGCTGCGGATTGAGCTGACGCGGCGACTCCACCAGGAGCAATGACGTTACTGCCAGAAGCTCTAACCTCCGCTGCTTGAATCGCTGCTGCGTCGCTCTGATCCACCGGTTTGTCTCCAGCGGTTTTCGCAGTCGCTTCCAATGCTTCTCCAATCGTTATCGCACTTTGCAAATTCAGTCCCAACGCTTCTGCGTCTGTGGCCGCCGTAGACGCCACAGGCTTCGGCTCAACGTATTGTCCGATGACCTGTAAACATTCTTCACCTTTACGAAAAAAATTGATTATAAAAATAAAAGAAATCATTTCGTGAACGGTTGTGACCTGTCCGCCGACGAATTCTGTTGTAACACGTGCACCAGGAACGTCAGTTTGCGCCACCGTGACACCTCGTTCGGCGGCGATGTCGGTCGTGTCACCTGGATGGACGAAACCACCGCGTTTGTTAGCGGTGGCCGCAGACTGCATGACCGCAGCTGCACCGCCTTTTTGAGTGTGTCCGAAGACACGTGTCTCTGCGGCTTGCATCATGTTCGCATCCTCAGGCTGTATGAGCTTATCTGCAAGTTCACCGGAGACTTCAAAAACGTCGCCGTATTTGACCGGCTCTTGTGGCTTCTTCGGTTGCTCTTGTTGACTCATGTCTCGGTTCTGTTCTGTTCTGTGTTAGAAGATGCAGCTACTAGGGAGATGACGGAGTATATAGAGAAGTACACGAGGTGTTGGACCCACTTTATGTGATTTTGACACTTGTCAATGACGTGACTAATACACACGTGTCAGTTCTGATGAGACAGCTTAAAGAAATTAAAAACCATAACGAATTCTCATAATTTGAGCTTTTCTTTTACCAACGTTACCATGTGTATCGTAAAATCGTTTGACACGTTTCAGTTTTAAGACAAACTAACAACAAGAAAAAGGTTGGAACAGAAGTCACCGATGTTGTCTGAAGTCAAGGGACAAAGAGAGACCTCTCATCTCTCTAGATCCTTGTTTCTCGCTGCTTTCTGTCTTTTTAATTTTCCTCTTCCATTTTAGAAATCACACAGAACATTTTCGGTACACGTTTCTTTTTTAGTTTTTCCCTCTCTGTGTTTCCCATACGCAAAATCTTCCACCTTCTCCGTTTTCTTCAACGGAGTTACAAGGCGGAAGAACCGTTGTTTGTGGCCGGAAAGAGAGCCAAACTTTTGTTCTCTGTTTTTCTGTTTCCGGTCATATAGATATGGGAACCGGTGGAAAAACGTTCAACGCTCACGCGATCTTCCCCACGTGGCATCACAAGCAAGTGCGTCCAATGGCCGACGATTCTGATCTCCGGAGAGACATCGGAGAGCTTCTTTCGCGGTGGGGCGGGCTTCAGTTGGCCGTGAAGAATCAGTGGGGAGGCCATGATTCTCTAGAAAAATCTCATGAGCTTGCTCATCATCTTTTTCATCTCTTCTCTCAATCAAACGGTTCGATTTGATTTCTCCGTTTCGAATATCTTAATTTTTTTTAAAAACCAAAGATATTTATTTGATTATCAACTATGATCGAAGCAGTGATTACGGTTGAAGAGATAGAGAGTTTTCTACATGAAAGCTTGCTTCTTTCTTTCAACACAGAGATCGAAGATGGCAGCATTGAAGAGGTACTTACTACTATTCCAATTTGATTATACTTAATTAAGATGTAAATTAAACTTTGATCATTGTGTGATTGGTTAGGTAGCTGAACAATTGATGATCCTCCATGAAGAACATTATTTGCGTGGGAGTCATTAAGCCTAGATATGAGGAAGCCATATTAGCTTGAACGGTGTAGACCATTTTTCGTGGAAAATTCGATCGTCCCTTACTAGCTAGTTACAAATTTACAGATGTAAGATGCAGAGAATATGAAAATTTGGTGGAGAACAAGATGTGATTCAGAATTATATTTATTTCGTGTAAGCAAGCATATGTATTTATTGTAAAATATATGAAATCACATTTTGTCAAATTTATCATAAAATTTGTAAAATTATAGTATTTCTAACTTGCTATTGACTATTGATTCAACTTTGTTAATTTTTAAATATTATGATTAAATAAACATTTATATTTGTTGGGAGTATTTCTATACAACCAATCAAAAAAAAAAAAAAAAAACTATATCACATTTAAGTGTTCGTAGACTCATAGTTCAACGTATATTCTTGTACTTTTTTAAAGTACTAACCGAGCCACTCACACACCCATACTGATTACATTCAATAAAAATGGGTTTCGTTAACTTTTTCTGTAAAGCTGTTTAGTTTTTGACTTTTTATAGAATAAGACTATGGATGTTTTTGTGCTACGCGCGGATTGTTTTTATATAGATATTTGATTATTATTTAAGTTAAATTATTTCCATTTTAAGTTAATATTTTAAATATAATATTTAATTTTTAAAATTGTTTTGATACGATTATACATCAAAAATATTTTAACGTATTCAAAAAATGTATCATGATATAATTTTAAGAATTACCTACTTGATATATGCTAAAATTAATTGTTAATCTAAAACTTAATATTTGTATATAAACTCACTGTTATTCACTACTAACTTTCAAAATATCATTAAAGTTATTTTTGTTTTGATTAAATTTGATTATTATTGTTTCAATTAATTTAGATTTTTATTTTTATTTCAACTGTGTTCATGTAGTGTTTTTATTTAATTAGCAATCTCAAATACAAACAACACTCAATGTTCTAATCTCTTATAAATGTATAAAATAACTATGATTCATATAAATAAATACAATATTTACATAGTATAAAAAATCACAATCATATTGATAAAATGCAACTTTGATTTGGTTTATGAAGTATATGTAAACTATAAAAAATATAGATGAATAAGGCAAGTAATACATATACAAATACAATTTCATACTAACTCATTATGTTAAATAAAGTATGTTGAGTTTCTCAAAACTCAAAAGATGTAAAAAATTTTGCTTGTAATTTAACTTAAACATTTTTTCTTAAACTACACATATAATTTTGATGAGCCTTTATAATTAAACTAATAATATATATTATATTATTTTTAAAGGAGTTTTTTAACCCAGTAAAAAAAACCATATTAGTTTTTTATTCAAGTTGGGTTTATAAAGAATTTTGTTGATATGGATAATTAGAGATTTTTTTAGACATTTTCTTCTACATAAAAATGTGTATGTTATTTTTTCAAAAATGCATTATTATTTAATTTAAAAATTTACTAACTTTATATATATAAAAATTAACTGTCATCTAAAACTTAATTTTTGTTTATAAACTGTTTAACTCATGTGTTGGCATGTATCGCTTGTAGTAACTTGACTACCTTAAGCCAACTAAGACACACATTGAATAAATATCAGTGCATGAAATTTTTCTTTTGTCTATCATTTTCTGCAATGTAAATAGTAACGATGATCGAAATCTACATATAGATAGATGCTTTGAAAAGCTTCCTAAAATTTATGTTGTCTTGTTGGTTGCCATAAATCTAACGTACTATGATGTTTAATCTGTATGTTTCTAAAAGGTGAATGTTTTAGATTTTTATAATTTGTAAATATTTTAAATTTTATTTTCAAAATTATTATTTTGTAATCTTGTTTCTATTAACTATTATTTAAGTTTCTTAGAGCAATTTATTGTCCAATATATTCACTATATTACAAAAAGGAGTATATATTAATGCTACAGATTTAAATAATATTTATTTTACTGATTTAGAAAATGATATTTAGTTTTATTTACTTATTCCTAATAACTATATTAACTTAGTGGTTCTATTTATTTATTTTATGTGTATTTCAAAAGATATAAAGTGAATTTTTTTATTATTGTTATATTACAAACAAAAGAAGTATATATTGATGCTATAAATTTAAATGATGTTTATTTTACTGATTCAAAAAATAATATTTTAATTTTATTTACTTTTGTTGGTAACTATATTAATTTTAGTGACAAAAATGAGTATATATTAATGCTACAGATTTAAATGATATTTATTTTACTGATTAAAATGATATATAGTTTTATTTAGTTTTTGCTAATAACTATATTAATTTAATGGTTCTATTTATTTATTTTATGTGTATTTCAAAAAATCTAAAGTGAGAATTTTCATTATTGTTAATTTGTTATATTACAAACAAAAAAGTATATATTGATGCTATAGATTTAATTAATATTTATTTTACTGATTCAAAAAATAATATTTTATTTTTATTTACTCTTTATTTAACTATACTAATTTTTGTTCTATTTATTTACTTTATGTGTATTTCAAAAAAATCTAAAGTGAGAATTTGTATTATTATTTTTTGCTGATGTGTCATATTTTTAGAGTAGTTTGAAAAGCTGAGGTGGATAGCTTCAGGAGCCCCAAATAGTTCTTTTTATTTTTTTGTTTACAAACTGTTTAACTCATGTGTTGACATGTATCGTTTGTAGTAACTTGACTACCTTAAGCCAACTAAGACACACATTAAATAAATATCAGTGCATGAAATTCTTCTGTTTTCTATCATTTTCTGCAATGTAAATAGCAACGATGATCGAAATCTTCATATAAATAGATGCTTTGAAAAGCTTCCTATAATTTCTGTTGTCTTGTTGGTTGCCATAAATCTAACGTACTATGATGTTTAATCTGTATGTTTCTAAAAGGTGAATGTTTTAGATTTTTATAATTTGTAAATGTTTTAAATTTTATTTTAAAAGTTATTATTTTGTAATCTTGTTTTTATTAACTATTATTTAAGTTTTTTAGAGCAATTTATTGTCCAATATATTCACTATATTACAAAAAGGAGTATATATTAATGCTACAGATTTAAATGATATTTATTTTACTGATTTAGAAAATGATATTTAATTTTATTTACTTATTCCTAATAACTATATTAACTTAGTGGTTCTATTTATTTATTTTATGTGTATTTCAAAAGATATAAAGTGAAATTTTTTATTATTGTTATATTACAAACAAAAAAAGTATATATTGATGCTATAAATTTAAATGATGTTTATTTTACTGATTCAAAAAATGATATTTTAATTTTATTTACTTTTGTTGGTAACTATATTAATTTTAGTGACAAAAATGAGTATATATTAATGCTACAGATTTAAATAATATTTATTTTACTGATTAAAATGATATATAGTTTTATTTAGTTTTTGCTAATAACTATATTAATTTAATGGTTCTATTTATTTATTTTATGTGTATTTCAAAAAATCTAAAGTGAGAATTTTCATTATTGTTAATTTGTTATATTACAAACAAAAGAGTACATATTGATGCTATAGATTTAAATAATATTTATTTTACTGATTCAAAAAATAATATTTTATTTATATTTACTCTTGTATTTAATTATATTAATTTTGGTTCTATTTATTTACTTTATGTGTATTTCAAAAAAATCTAAAGTGGGAATTTGTATTATTATTTTTTGCTGATGTGTCATATTTTTAGAGTAGTTTGAAAAGCTGAGGTGGATAGCTTAAGGAGCCCCAAATAGTTCCTTTTATTTAGTATAGACTAGGGATGTTTCTGCGCTACGCACGGATTGTTTTTATATAGATATTTGATTATTATTTAAGTTAAATTATTTTCACTTTAAGTTAATATTTTAAATATAATATTTAATTTTTAAAATTTTTTTGATATGATTATACATCAAAAATATTTTAACGTATTCATAAAATGTATCATGATGTAATTTTAAGAATTACCTACTTGATAAATGCTAAAATTAACTGTTAATCTAAAACTTAATATTTGTATATAAACTCACTGTTATTCACTAACTTTCAAAATATTATTAAAATTATTTTTGTTTTGACTAAATTTGATTATTATTGTTCTAATTAATTTAGATTTTTATTTTTATTTCAACTGTGTTTGTGTAGTGTTTTTATTTGATTAGCACTCTCAAATACAAACAACACTCAATGTTTCAATCTCTTATAAATCTATAAAATAACTATGATTCATATAAATAAAAACAACATTTACATAGTATAAAAAATCACAATCATATTGATAAAATGCAATTTTGATTTGGTCTATGAAGTATACGTAAACTATAAAAATATAGATGAATGAGGCAAGTAATACATATATACAAATACAATTTCATACTAACTCATTATGTTAATTAAAGTATGTTGAGTTTCTCAAAACTCAAAAGATGTAAAAAATTTGTGCTTGTAATTTAACTTAAACATTTTTTATTAAACTACACATATATATTTTGACGAGCCTTTATAATTAAACTAATAATATATATTATATTATTTTTAAAGGAGTTTCTTAACCCAGTAAAAAAAATCATATTAGTTTTTCATTCAAGTTGGGTTTATAAAGAATTTTGTTGATGTGGATGGTTAGAGATTTTTTTAGACATTTTCTTCTACATAAAAAATGTGTATGTTATTTTTTCAAAAATGCATTATTATTTAATTTAAGAATTTACTAACTTGATATATATAAAAATTAACTGTCATCTAAAACTTAATTTTTGTATATAAACTGTTTAACTCATGAGTTGACATGTATCGCTTGTAGTAACTTGACTACCTTAAGTCAACTAAGACACACATTGAATAAATATCAGTGCATGAAATTCTTCTTGTGTCCATCATTTTCTGCAATGTAAATAGTAACGATGATCGAAATCTTCATATAGATAGATGCTTTGAAAAGCTTCCTATAACTTTCGTTGTCTTGTTGGTTGCCATAAATCTAACGTACTATGATGTTTAATCTGTATGTTTCTAAAAGATAATGTTTTAGATTTTTATAATTTGTAAATGTTTTAAATTTTATTTTAGAAATTATTATTTTGTAATCTTGTTTCTATTAACTATTATTTAAGTTTTTTAGAGCAATTTGTTGTCCAATATATTCACTATATTACAAAAAAGAATATATATTAATGCTATAGATTTAAATTATATTTATTTTACTCATTCAGAAAATGATATTTAGTTTTATTTAGTTATTGCTAATAACTATATTAACTTAGTGGTTCTATTTATTTATTTTATGTGTATTTCAAAAGATATAAAGTGAAATTTTTTATTATTGTTATATTACAAACAAAAGGAGTATATATTGATGCTATAAATTTAAATGATGTTTATTTTACTGATTCAAAAAATGATATTTTAATTTTATTTACTTTTGTTGGTAACTATATTAATTTTAGTGACAAAAATGAGTATATATTAATGCTACAGATTTAAATGATATTTATTTTACTGATTAAAATGATATTTAGTTTTATTTAGTTTTTGCTAATAACTATATTAATTTAATGGTTCTATTTATTTATTTTATGTGTATTTTAAAAAATCTAAAGTGAAAATTTTCATTATTGTTAATTTGTTATATTACAAACAAAAAAGTATATATTGATGCTATAGATTTAAATAATATTTATTCTACTGATTAAAAAAATAATATTTTATTTTTATTTAGTTTTGTATTTAACTATATTAATTTTGGTTCTATTTATTTACTTTATGTGTATTCCAAAAAAATCTAAAGTGGGAATTTGTATTATTAGTTTTTTGTTGATGTGTCATATTTTTAGAGTAGTTTGAAAAGCTGAGGTGGATAGCTTAAGGAGTTTTATAATTAAACTAATAATATATATTATATTATTTTTAAAGGAGTTTCTTAACCCAGTAAAAAAACCATATTAGTTTTCATTCAAGTTGGGTTTATAAAGAATTTTGTTGATGTGGATAATTAAAGATTTTTTTAGACATTTTCTTCTACATTAAAATGTATATGTTATTTTTTCAAAAATGCATAATTATTTAATTTAGAATTTATTAACTTGATATATATAAAAATTAACTGTTATTTAAAACTTAATTTTTGTTTATAAACTGTTTAACTCATGTGTTGACATGTATCGCTTGTAGTAACTTGACTACCTTAAGCCAACTAAGACACACATTGAATAAATATCAGTGCATGAAATTCTTCTTTTGTCTATCATTTTCTGCAATGTAAATAGTAATGATCGAAATCTTCATATAGATAGATGCTTTGAAAAGCTTCCTATAATTTATGTTGTCTTGTTGGTTGCCATAAATCTAACGTACTATGATGTTTAATCTGTATGTTTCTAAAATGTGAATGTTTTAGATTTTTATAATTTACAAATGTTTTAAATTTTATTTTAGAAATTATTATTTTGTAATCTTGTTTCTATTAACTATTATTTAAGTCTTTTGTCTATCACTATATTTATTTTACTGATTAAAATGATATATAGTTTTATTTAGTTTTTGCTAATAAGTATATTAATTTAATGGTTTTATTTATTTATTTTATGTGTATTTCAAAAAATCTAAAGTGAGAATTTTCATTATTGTTAATTTGTTATATTACAAACAAAAGAGTATATATTGATGCTATAGATTTAAATAATATTTATTTTACTGATTCAAAAAATAATAATTTATTTTTATTTACTCTTGTATTTAACTATATTAATTTTGGTTCTATTTATTTACTTTATGTGTATTCCAAAAAAATCTAAAGTGAGAATTTGTATTATTATTTTTTGCTGATGTGTCATACTTTTAGAGTAGTTTGAAAAGTTGAGGTGGATAGCTTAAGGAGCCCCAAATAGTTCCTTTTATTTAGTATATATGTATTTCGTTTACCATTTAGTTTCTTTTATTCGACCAATCAAAAAGAAAACAAAGAGTTTTAGTTAGAAATAGTACAAATGAGAAAGGCTGATTCGCGTGAGAGAGACTACGGTAAATCGGGTTATAGAGTTGAAAACTTGACGAGTGTCAGAAATGGTTTTATTTACCTATAAAAAGGACATAACCACATCAAGGGCATAATCGTCATTTCTCGACGTTTATTCGTTGCAATTTTCAGCTTGAAGACTAAAACCACATATCTCGACAGAGTTAAAAAAATAAAAACCAGAGGAAAAGAACAAGAGAGATTGAAAAGCGTTAGATCTGCTTGTAAAAAAAGTTCGCTCTGCTTCTAAATCTAACAAAAAGTTCATAGCTTTCATATATTTCGTTAAATTTCACTCTGAATTCTATATCTTATCTCAATTTTGACTCTCACTGGGTTGGTGTTTCTCCTCTGCAGGAAAATTAGGGTTTTGAGCATGTCTGCTCCGTTTTATCCTCCGATAAATATGCAGCAAGAGATCGGTCAAAATCCTCCTGGGTAATTTTTTTTCTCTCTCAACAACACAGTTATATTTCTACAATCATTTCGTTGTGTTCTGCTTTGTTGTTTCTTTGGTTATCCTGTATTTGAACCTCTGTTCTGGTCTGAATTGAAATTATGTTGGAAAATGAGACTTAGATTGTAATGTGAAGCAGATATCTTTCAAAATTCTGACTTAGGAACCAACAATTCTTGAGTTTAAAACGAGTCTAGATCAATTGTGTCTAGTCGTACAATGTTGTCTTTTTGCGAGTAGTGTGAAGAGGCCTGTGAGTGTGGGGAGTAAGCATTTTAGGGTTCTCATACTAATTGATAAGCTGTGTCTTTAGGGTTGACGATTGTTTGGCCTAAATGTAGTTTTTTTGTTTGATTTGATTTTCATGTGTGTTGTTTCATCAGCTGCTCTTGTGCTACTAAACACAAATTTGCATTCCAGGTTTGGTACCGAGCCAGTCCCAATCAGTACGTACCAAGACAACGAACCTGTACCGATCTCAACTTACCGAGAAGATGAATCAGACCCGCTCCACACCACTCAGCAAGAGAAGGACGACTTTTGGGAAAACGGTTTCAACAGAGAAGACAACATTCAAGACCCAGAGCCATTTCAGGCGAAAGAAAACGGGAAGAGAAGCGTAGACAACAGCTCCTTCACTCACGGAGAAACCGATCTCAACCAGCTGCCAGCGATTCCTCCGGTCTCAACAGGGCAAGGCTTGCCTTATGCGCCTGTTGATTGGCCAAGCCCTGGTGATGTCTGGACATGGAGAGTCGGTAGGAGAGTGACAGCTGTTGGTTATCATCAGGATAGGTTCCTGATTCTCCCTCAGAGGCTTCAGCAGAAGAATGTACCAAAGTCTTTCGCTAGCAAAGCCACTCTCCTTCGTTATATCCAGTCGAATTTCCCAGCCATGGACGCTGATGCCTTCTTTGCTTCGTTTAGCTGGAAGATCCCAGCTCTCTTCCAGGCTGCAACCAAAGGTATAAGATCTTTTCCAAGAGGTTTAAGATTTTTCAGATATTGCAAAGAATGATTCTTGGTAAAGATGTTTCCTTTTTTTCTTGTTAGTTGATACTGCGTCTCTGTTTGAGGAGACCCCGAAGGAAGCACAGACTGAAGCTGCTCCAGTTGATGAAAATGCTAAAGAAGGAAACTCGAGATACAGCCAGAGGAAGAGAAAACCAATGCCGACACAGACGTATGAACCTGTGGAACCGAAACCTAAACCGACTCCACGAGGTGGTAAGGGCAACAAGAAGAAGAAAGGAGACACCACTCCTGCCTCTGCAACTCCATCCTCGACCAAACCGAAATCTTCTCGGCAATCCACGAGACGCGCTTCGAACCAGAACCAGCAGAGCGGTGGTGCTGTGGACTTGAACTACGATGAAGGTGAACCTGCTAGTGCACCAAACACTAGTGGCAGGAGAAAGAAACGCAGAGTTAACTTTGAGGACGAAGATGTTTCTATCCCTCACATCTATGTCTCTCCTATGAACGGTGTCCTTGCGGTCTCTCACTCGCCTATCGATGTTGATCCCGTGGAGTTTGACTCCTACCTGGACTCTCTTGAAAACCTTCTTCATCAAGGTCCAGAAGATACTGGTAGAGACTCTGTACTCGTTAGCGCAAGCTCTCCGATGAGAGAGTACGAATGGGCAGAAGCTAGAATGAAGATCTCGTCTCTTCTTGAGAAGGACTTCCCTAGCTTGTTCGTCTCCAAGGATGCTGCGGAGATAGCTGCGTTAGCGACGAAACTGAGGAAAGATCCGAACCTCTCCGCTGAAGAGATTGTGAGGCTGAAGCTTATCGAAGAGATACCAACGTTCAGCGAAGTGTTCCAGGAGAACAAAGGTGTGATTGAAGAAGCAGATAGGTTCTTCTCTGCTCTTGAGCTTAACAAGGCTAAAGTAGCATCGCTGAAATACGAGTACAGCGACCTGAGGCACAAGCTAGGGAGTTTGCAGATGGAAGTAGACGAGAACACTGAGGCGATCAGGCAAATCGATGACCAGATCGCTCAGCTTCAAGCTAGAAGGTCTGAGCTGAAGAGGTACATCGCTGAGAAGGAGAAAGAGAAGGTTGACGCGAGCTATGGGCAGAAAATGGTGGCGAACTCGATTCCCAAAGTGGTGCAGGAAGTTCAATCAGCAAACTCGAAGAAGTCTGAGTGGGAATGTAAGAAGGATAATGCTCTTAAGCGTGAAGCGGAGATTCTCTCTAAGTTCACTCCTCTCAAAGGCTTCTTCCTCTAAAGATGAATCTAAACCCCCTTGTCGTGTATCCTTTTAACTATATTACCTTTTGTAGACAATCTTGTTGTGTCATGTAGCAGTTTTTTTGTGGTTTGCAGACTCTTTGAAAAACCTGTTCTAGGCTTGGAGGTTTAATGTATGCTTATTATGTTTTTGATGTACTGTGGAAACTCTCTGTTTTAGTCGATAAGGACTTTTTTTATTTTTCTGTCCCGTCTTGCCTTTGCAATAATTTGAGAGACAGGAATAAGCAAAAGACATTTCATGTTGAATCTCGGTTACGTCCCGTTTAATGTATTGATGCTGTGCAATTCTTTTACAGTGTACCAAGATCTTATCAATTATTCAGTGTGTTATTAGGCAGTGTGGAGATATGCTTTCGTCTACCTAACGAATCGAAATCGTAACACGGCTCATAATACTAAAGATGATGATTATTAGAGCGTATCTTAAGCATCCGCACCATACATATTGAGCGTTATTTTAACATCAAGAAGAAAAGAAGAAAAAAAACAAAGGTGAAGTAAGAAGAAAGACAAAGGTTGCATTGTATATCACACGATCGATTTAAAAAACACCCAGGAGACTAAGAGAGAAGGGAGAGAGTTCTCCTACACCAACCCTCTCTTCCTCTTAAAAGCCATGATCTTCTCATGGGTCTCGTCAGCCATCATTATACAATGTGCTACACATACAAGAAAACGACGACGACGAAGTTCATGACAAGTTTTTACTTTGAAATCAACAAATCAAAGAAACAAAGTTTATGTACGTACCTGGGTTACAGTAGCTAAAGCGAGATTTACGTTGGCGGCCTCGGGGAGGAGGGATATCCATATTCGGTTTTGGTTCGGCTTTTGCTACGGGAGTAGCTTCTATTCTCCATCCTCCCACTTCACTAATTCCATCACCTTGCAGCGCCTTGTCTTCCCCTTCTTGATCCACAAAATATATATAAGCAATGTCGTCGAGAGTATTGACAAAAACACGTGTCATCTCTCCGCAAGAAGCGAAGTGTTTCCTCAAAATGCTCTCGATCTCATCCGCAGGAAGCGAAGTGTCATATCCACTAACGGTGATGCCAAACCTACTGCAGTTATGTAACTTTGCATGTTATCATCATATAAATGCATATCAAATCTCCATAAAAAAAAAAAAAAAAGCATATATACTTACAATCTTTCGTCATAGTATGTCTCTAAGTAAAGATTGGCTGCAAAACAATCAGTCTCCATGTCTTCTTCCGGTGTAACCCTAACAATGGCGTTCCATCCTCCCACGTCACTTCCATCAAGCTGCAACGCTTTCAATTTTGCGCCATATCCGCGAAGAATGATAAATGAACGTCCAACACGGCCTTCAGAGAATGTTACATAAACAATTTCGCCACATGAACTGAAGTGATTAATCAACGTCTTCTTGATATCTTCCTCGGGAAGCGAAGCGTCGTATCCCTCAACGGAAATCCTAACCCTAATTATGCAGGAGATGAAAATATTATCAACAACAATTAACAACAACACATGCAGATCTCCACGGGAAAAGAGAAAAAAGTTACCGGGGCTGTCTGGTTCTCTCGAAGAAGGTTTCCTTAGCAGCATCACTGTCGAGCAATTTAGGTTTCTTCGCCTAAATTAAAGTACAACAGATCTAATCAGATATATTTTTTAACCGTTTAGTAGAGAAAAAGATATTCAAAAACCGAGTAAGAAGAAAGCCATAAGGAGAAGAAAATTACTTGAGAGTTCTTGTCCGTGTTTCAGTTTTAGGAAGAAGAATGTATTTTTGTTGGGTTAAGAAAGAGAAGAAACGATATTTATAATCTTCTTCTCGTTATTTATCTTTTTCTTTTTTTCTTTTTTATATACAGTAAAACCACTATAAATTAATAATGTTAGGATTCTAAAATTTTATTAATTTATAGAGTTATTAGGAGATTGGTCCGTACCCATATGTGCAGGTTTGAACAGTTTTTAAAATGTAATTTGTTAAATATAATACTTAACTCTGTCTCAAATTTTTTATTTTTTTGTAGTATATAAAACTTAACGTCAGTGATAAATTATAAGGCTTTAGATTTAGTAGTAAAATATAATCTAATTTTAATTAAACATTTTGTTATAATAAAATATCTATTTATAATTTGAGACAGACCTAAAAATAATAATTAAATTTTAAAAATACAAAAATTATATTTTTTTCATAATTGGGCTTTGTAAAACTTAACCGCTATGTTACAGGGTCAAATGGGTACCCGGTTACTTGTTTCCTATTTGAAGATCAAGAAAACATACCTCTAAATTTTATCTTCTCTTTCTTTTTTTATTTTGACCAAAAATTTTTCATTGACTTCGTAATTAAAAAAAGACAGAGATTGATCTGGAAAAAGTTTTTCCTTTGTGTTGCCTTCGTTTGATTTTGATTTTGATGTTGATCGGAGATTGATCTAGAGAAAATAATGTTATGATTTTTGTCTTTAGATCTTAAGTTCTATTAGCTTTGATTGAGTAATTTGCTCTTTTGTTTCGGCAAAATTTCAATGTGTTTATAGCATTTTCTATGAGAATCTAATACCAATAAAATAAATCAGATTTTATGTATTTATCTCTTTCTGTATTAAGTCTTACCTCTTTTCTCCAATGTAGTACATAGCAATGGCAATCTTGTTCTTTTGCTCTACGCAGGTACTGTTACAAGTGCATACTACAGGGGTGTTGTTGGTGCGATGCTGGTTTACGACATGACAAAGCGCGGATCTTTTGAGCACATTCCTCAATGGCTAAAGCAACTACGAGGACACGTCGATAAGAACAAACGTTTTTCATTGACTGCATAATTAAAAAAAAAGACAGAGATTTTATAAATCGTATTCTTTTGTTAGAAATCTGAAATTGATTGCGTAATATTTTACAACCATAATGTAAATTTCTTAATTTGTTTGAAAATTCAGTGTAGCGATAAATCTTTGCTTCATTAAACTCGCGATTGGAATCCATCCAACCTTGAAGTTTAGTTTTAGGCATATTTGATTTAGGTAGATGAACTGGAAGAATTGTCATTTAAGAAATTTTGAGTTAGGGTTTGATTTGTTTGATACTCATGTATTGTTTTTTGTTTTCTTATATAAAGACCCGATTATTTAACTTGTACATTATCCAACGTTTGTTTATTGTAGTGCAAATCTTTTAATGTTTGATTTCGATTTTGGATTACATATTATTTTTTCTACCCGAAATATGTTGTTTGTTTATTCTATTTAAACAGATATATTTTTTTAGGAGATCTAAATATATTAATTTGGATTGTTGTTAAGATACTAACTGTGTGATATTACGCATGTGCATCTCATAAAAAAAATTATGAGATTGTTTACTTTGAATTATTTGGCATAAACAAGATTTTTCTCGGTTCGAACCTAAACTTGCCCAACATAACACATGATCATTGCGTAAAAGAAACCAAAGACTAAATTGATTGCAACTCTTGAACACAACACAACATAAATTTCTCCGCTATTGCGTCATTACAAGCACACAGTGGAAGCAGAGTACAAAATCGAAAAACAAATCCAAATTTTTCCAGCAATTAACACCGTTGACAGAAGAAAAAGAAACTTAGCGAGATTATGTCAAATCGAGACCAACACCACCAACTCGAATGCCATCACTACTTTCCAAACAACGTCAACGACCATTACGGACAAGAAATTCAGCTCCGGTCGACGCCAGTTGAGCCAGCGCCATCGCTCATAACCACGACCTGAAAACATCAATAAAATGACGGAAATATTTAAAAACATTTATTTAAAGTAAAATAAATTAAACACACAAATATTTTTTTGCCATGTCATAATCCACATATATTTACATATGCCAATTCACAATTACATCATCATTACACATCACCATTTCCATGTCACATTTAATTATGTTAAATTGATGTTTTTAACCAATAAAATTAAAACAAATAAGCATAATTCATTAAACTACACTGTCAATTAATAGGTAGGAGATTAATTAATCGATAAATTAATATTTTATTAATTTATAGATATATATTTTTAGTTTGAATTTTTAATATTCATCAAAAAAACAAAATCAATATTTTCAACAATGTAAAAATCATTCAAAAATATCATAATAATAAATTTAAAAGATAAATCAAACAAATTTTATAAACTTGAAGCAACAATATTATCATAGTTTACTATATTATATTATTGATATATGCATAAATATATAGTTATTGATTTATATTATTATTGGGATTATATTTTTATATAGAAGTTTCAAAAAAAAAATATTATCTTATTATCTTATCGAATTTTCTCAATTTTTACATTGGCCCAACTTGGAACCAGTAAAAATTATTAATTTATAGTGATTATTAATTTATCGAGTATTAATTTATAAATATTCTACTATATACATGAATAAGTATTTGGATATATGTTAAGATACCAATTTTTATTAGAGCATCTAACCTAAAAGGGTGGTATTGAATCATTATATTAGATAGAATGTACAAAAAAATCAAAAATTATTGATTTCTAAGTAAGTTAAAGTGTTTTGTTGGAATTTAAACCAATTCTATCAAAATCAGAGTAAAAATGGTAGGAATTGGTTCTTTACAATTTTTATATGAGATTCTATTGAATTCCTTCCAAATAATAATACAATCAAAGCTATTACAAAATTGAATATCATATGTATTTAATAAAATTGGAAAATTAATATATTGAATAACAATAATATTTAAAGGATTTTGAAAAAAATGAATAGAAATACTTAATCCAATAACACAAATATTTAAAAGAATTGATAAAATAGATAATTTTAATGAAATTTCCAACTCCTTACAATTCAATCCAATTTCGGAATCCAATACCCCTACCTAAGAATATGATGATATCGCGGAAAGTGACATGAACTTGAGGTTCTTGAAGGGATGTTATAAGCAATTGAATGTCAAGGACAGAGACGGAGACACGATTGTCAGGAATCGGTGGGAAGTTGGTGGAGCTAGATGGCCTCATTCCACTCAGACATCGTTCACAATCTGACAGGTATACTCACACTCGAACCTTTTTTTATAAAAAAAATCAAGATTGGTCGATGGTGCACATGTGAGAGATCTAGTAAATCAGCTTTTTTTGTGCCTAATGGGTTTACTCACCCGTTGATTCGCACACATGTCAGACTCATTTGTTGGTGTTTCGAAACAAGTCGAATGGGCAGCCCACAAGCCGACCCCCAGAGCACACAGATGTCAATGCACGTCGTTAAGGCGCATGCTGCAGTCCACGATTAAAATAGCAATGTCTCTGCGAGCATATAAAAACCTCGGGTTTAAGCCACTACCTTAATTTGCATCGGACCATGACCCAAATGGATTGCAGACTGGATTTCTCTGTTCCACATCTGGCCAGAATATAGCACCGGTCTCATCCGCTTCCCTCCCAACAACTTCAAGCACTATTTGACTCTTTTGAAAAGTTTTTATCATCTTTACCTTGTGCTACTTGTTTGCTATCAATATCTCGCTTATATTTATTAGTCTTGGACGAAAATTACCACTCGATTGGGGTTGCATTCCCAAACAAACTCACTCGTAGATAGCATTTCATGGTGCGACATAATCCAGGCATTATGGGGCTCTCACCCTTTTTAGCACCACTTTATGTGGTGCGACAGGGTACATGTTCCAAATAGATTGGTAAAGTGATTTTTTCTTTACTTTTTCTCTCTTAATAATTTTATGTATTATTTAACTCTCATTTTAAAGTCCTTTTTCATTTTATATCTCACGTACTTGTTTGCTGTTTTTCGTCCATATTTAATCTTAGACTCAATTAAGACTGTATTCCTAAACAACTCGACTTGTACACAACACCTCATGGTGCAACAGGGTCCGGACACGATAGTGCTTTCACCCTCTTTGGCACATCTTTCTTACGGACATAGGCCCGGTTTATCAATGAGGATGCTTCTCCAAACTACAATTCGAATGTTGAAAATGTCTAATTTTCAAATTAAGCTCTTCTGATTCACTCGCTGTTACTAAGGAAATTTTAGTTAATTTTATTTCTTCTGCTTAAACTCAATGGGTAATTCCTATGATTAAACTCAACGGGTAATTTCTGGCTTAGGGTCATGTTTAGAACTTTGAGTCCTGAAGAGCTTTTGGACAAGAGCAATCGATAAAATAAAAAGGCTTGAATTCATCACTGCATATCGAAATGCTCTTAACATGCTTGGATTTTGGCAAACCAGATTCCATCCCATAGCCTCAAGAGGTTTGATCTGAGTTACGATCCCCAAACTGTATTTAGAGGTTACATGTCCCGGTTATGCTGAAATGGTTATGGGTTGGTTTGTGTTATAGGCTCGGTTTAGTTGATAGATTGTGAGATCAAAGCCTCAACCTTTCCTTTATTTTTCAGCTAAATTTGGCAACAAGAAAAAAGAAAAAGAAAAAGAAGGCTAACAATTTCAACGAAACAAGGGAAGATTCGAGATTTTTTCTTCTTCTTCTCTCACGTTTCTTGATCATGTAACATTCAAAAGCATTAGTTCATATTTTTAAAAACATCATTACACAAACTGTATTTGTCTCAAACCAAACATTACTCTTGACCTTTTACTGAACAAGAACTAGCCTCCCACTTCCCATACCTTGTCCAAAATCTCCACCACCACCATCATCATCTTCTTCCTCTGAA